GTTTTATTTAGAATGTAATAGAGTTTATTGAAGATTAAACCTTGTACAAGTTGAGCTTTATATAAGCTCTCAAAACAATACGACCGATTCACTGCAATCACCTTTCAACCGTACAATTGCGTAAAAAGTAATTTAATCTTACATAATAATATTTCCAAGTTTCATTAATGACGTTATTGATTGTTATGTCGTTAAGGTAATTTGGCATTTCGGACAAAGTGCTTAAGTGCGATCACTTGCTTTCTACAGTTTTCTTAGCTAACTCTGCAACAAATGACGATAAGGCTTAATTAGTAAACCTAAGCTGCCACTTTTTAAGTTAAGGCTTTACGGACCATGTTACGAAGTTTTGCTTCGTAAAGAAGTAATATGAGGATCTCCATGACCGTGGTCTGGATAATGAGCACCAATTCGAGAAACTAAAATAAATATAAGACAACATCACAAACATTGAAAAAAAAAAACATGGAGATCGGAAACAACGACGGTAACATAAACAAAAAACAACTAGACCCGAGAGAGTATAGAAAAGTTAGTTTGTATTCTGACCCAGTCGGGGATCGAACCTGGGACCTGAGAGATGACGACACAATGAAAACCGATGTGCATGCAAAGGTAATTGACAAGGTTGTAACGTTATTTTAATTCAAAAAAATATGGTAAATAAATGATAAATGTATTGGGAGTCTTATTATATGGGGTATCTGCTTTACGAAGGAGCCGTAGAGTTTAATCAATATTACGATTTCAAGTATAATTTGCTTACCGACGAAATGAAGATGATTTTGAATATGAATTTTGAATGTGTGATAATTGGGTGATATTTTCAAATGGGACTGCGACATAGGGAGGTCAATATTGATTAAATGTAACAGAATATTTTAACATATATCCATTACTGTGCTCGGCAGTACAGCCTCGTAAGTGCGCTAAAGCGGCAGTGCCAGAACTCTTTGCTGTTTTCAGGGCTCGTATAATATCTTAATTTTGGTACAGAGTGCATTGTTCTGATAACGGCATATTATGAGTTATTTCCGCTGTTATGTCTGGTCCTTTTCTTAAATATGCTTAATAGTTTGCCAAAGAGTTCGTCCTGAGACGTACTGCCACCTTACCTATTTCTGCCGCCAGGCAGTAACGTGAGCATTACCGCGTTCCGGTTTTGAAGGGTGCTGTTGAAATTACATGCACATGGGCTTTGTCAACTTAGGGCGCAGTGGCAGTTCCCCACAGATCCTTGTGATTTAAAGCACCAGGCGCACGATTTACTCGTCCCGTTACTTGGTATTATTATAAAAAAAAAAACTTCAACCTCGATACAATCAGGAACTAGAATAGACGTAGACCTGTGCAGGTAATAAATTATTGTTTTATTATATTTTTTTACGTTTTATTCTATTTTATTATTATTGATGTCATGTTGTGAACTTAAACTGGGATTTTTATTACAAAATAGACTATTGCCATTATTTATGTCGCAGACGGAGTGGGCACTGCGGATCGCAATGACGTTGTCTCGCACGTGACTGTATCACTTGTTCGACGCATTTACGATCTATTATTTACACGACTATGATGTGAAGAGCGAAGCCAAAAAGGGCGTAATATACTCGTAATAGTTCACCAACTCTGCAAGGCGTGGGAATTGGTTATTGCAAATATTAGAACAAGGATTAGAGACGCCATTACGTGAACGAAAGTCATATTACGAGAGTTCTTGCAGTTATCCCATCACGCGTTCACGTACTTCTTCTTAATCGTTTGAGACACACGGTTTCACAGACAGTAAAGCCGGGTACTCACTAGAGAGCTGTAACTGAAACCATTGCATGTTATGTTACTAACAATAATAGTGTATTCGAGAGTTTGCCGCGACCGGAGCGCATCGGTTCGCCCGGTAACTTGGTACTCATTCTAGCGATTGACAACTGTTTCACGCATACACACTAGAACTTCATTACTGTATCTGTCACGTTACAATCACAGCTCGCTAATGAGCACCCTTTTTTATTCATGGGGAAATTCTCTCAGGATACCTTTCCGCCGCGAGGGCAGCAGGGGAGTTATGCCGGCTACTACCTACTTCCACCAGCTAAAACCCCACAGTGGCCTACTCGGGTGATCTAGTGGGAGGGATCCGGAACCCTCCCAGCACCTGAGAAGAGCTACGTCCTCCCCGTACTCACGACATAGCGAGCCATACTGCCCCGTCCTCCTCGTGGCTACCAAACTTACTGGCGAACGGAGCCCCCGCTCCATACCCCGCAGTCGCGAAGGTACGCCGCCGTGTCCCCGAGCCTGATCGGGAGAGAGCCGATGCTGCTGGGCGACCTCATTCTGAAGGATCACCGCTTTACAGAAGGAGACTACTGCCTCATGGGACTCTCAGGAGAGCGATCTCGCCCTATCTGGGCAACCAGGGTATTCCGCTCGCAGGCTCACGCGGGGCTACTCCTCCAGGGTGTGCTGGGCAGAAACCTGGTCCCTCCTACGCTAATGAGTATCTAAGGCAACTCCCGCCTGTTCGGTGCATAAATGCCTGCAGTTAGTTTACATTATTATTTTAGTTGTATACATAGGTAGGCTTGTAGTGTGATCACAGCATCATTGTGCCTTATTGAAATAACCTTTGTCAAATGCAGCAGGTACCAGTGGCGAGGCGTCCATATAACTCGATTCCCACCGCCTTGCCTAAAATTTTCCGGGTACTTAGTACCAGTGGCAGCGCCCACCACTAAAAAAACATATATTCAAAATATTCACTATTATACTCGTAATAACTTGCCCCGATACATCTCAACCAATCAGCGCGAGAGGTAAGCCGGTGGATCGGCGAGTTCTATTTCATTCATGAAGTCTACGCGCTCCCATCAAAATATATAAATACACATTCGCAAAAATCCGCTTTATAACATTATAAAGAAATGGCGGTTGAGAAGCCGCAATACTTCGAGTTATTGTGGAATAGCGTTCACAATAACTCGTAGCGTGTTTTAATGTCAGAATCTTTGCCAGATGTAAAACTTTCTTAAAATAATGTAACATAATTATTATAATTGCAAATTAATACAAAGTATGTAAATCTTAATTCTATTTTGTTAATCTTAATATACTCGTATCTATATTAATTGCGTGTTTCTTTCTAATAGGACTACGTAACAAATGTATATAGAAGGTAATGGTAATTCATAGGTAATTAAAATAGCAACACTTAGCATTTATGTGATTGTTTACATACTTTCGTATCGCGCCTGGCAGCTTAAAATGTAAAATTACTTTAAAAGCTATGGTTATTTTATGTGTAGTATGTAATAAGTCATCCTGTGAAAGGAAGTGAACAATAACCGGATACTCTTGTGTCCTAATAAGTGTTGTGGGAAAATAATTTTTTTTAAAGTGTTTTCAAAAACTTAAAGCTTCGGCTTTGCCAAGGACAATTTTAATGCCTCGCCACTGCTAGGTACTTGCATTGCAGATCGGTATCTTGATTATGGAGTGTGTTTACGAAATATAAATGAAATGCTGAACAATTTTGAATTTAAGGCACTCTTGTTTGAACTACCACAAACACAATAATGAACACGTCTACTATTTCGTGTCATTTTTTTAAACATCTAGCGCCCGTTTCTTTTTATTTAATGACGCGCGGTACGACCCGCGCTATGCGACGAACATCCAACATATCCTGAAAGAACAACTGTTTCGTTATAATTCGGTTTTCAGTGTAATGAAAATTCGAACAAACGTTATTTCGGACAAAAAATATTCGACTTTGTGATAGGTTACCCCAGGGGTTGCTCTTTGTATATGTATATGCAACGCACCGCGCGATTATGCGAATGTGTGCGTCCGTACAAGGCGCATGGCGGGCGTGCAGACATACAAGCCGCGCTAATACGTTTGTATGGAGTTACCATTTTTGTCTTATTATATTATTTCTGTAGTTTATGTCATCACGATGAGTTTCTTAACAAGCGCGAGGTATTGCTACCAAAAATTAATGAATGTACGTAACGTTGTGAAGATTCGTAGCGTCAATTGAGAAACAAACGTTCTCCTATGTCATCAACACTATTATGCATTAAACAATGGAAGCAATATGTAAGACATATGAAAGACAAAATGGGGTGAATAATTAAAGGTAGGAAATTGCACAGAGGGCTGCGCTATCGACAATTCCCTTTTGGATAGTTGAACTTATTTATTCTTTTGGCGGAAGTAGCTGCCAACCTTTTACTTACCGGACACAATGCAGACTGTGTTGTTTCTTCAGCGCCACCCATGCTTGCGTAGGCACGGGAGGGGTCCCCGTGTCCACAAGGATTTGTTCGAACGTTACGTTATGTTTACAGTGACTGATTAGAAATGAAACTACTTTTTTTGGTTATAAATCGCGTGTATTTGTTTTCTCCAAATATACCAACAATTCACTCGCTTTTCGAAGGCTCCATGGTCACAATTGACTGAAAAACGAAATACACGTGATTTATTGTTATGTTTGTGATTTCATTATTTTAAAAGAAACACAGTAGGATATCCATCCATTTGAAGACTGTCCAGAAAGTTAGTTTATATCACTACGTTGGTTAGAGAAAGTAAGGATTTTGAACTCGATGATAATGAAAATATATTTATGGCTTTTACATTAATATAGGCTTACGTTTGTCCACAATATGAACTAATGCATAGTGAAGATGTGGACTAGGAAGATACATGTTCGTTCCCAGAAGATGCCTGCTCACTATGACTTAGAAAAGTATATTTAAATAAGTATTGAAAATGAAACTGTTTTTCTCGGATTTAACTCGCGTATATTTGTTTTTTTTTCCAACATACTAACGTTTCGGGCTCTTTCCAGGTTTCATGGTCACGACTGTCAGTCAGTGAAAAAACAAATATACGCGACTTAGACACGAAAAAAGTAGATTCGTTTGTAGCAGTCACGAACTCAATATGGTACTTAACAATGTGAAAACTAAAATTTATTCTCTCCTTTCTAGGGCTCTAAGACCAGTGATATGTTTTATTGGCAAGCTATCTTACCTAGCCGGTGGGATGGCGATTACCGTAAGAGGTCGGCAAGTCAGCCGGGAGGAGGCGCCAATCCTGGTTGTTGCACCACATTCGTCATTCCTCGATAGCTGCATTGTGTACGCTACAAAGATGTCCTCAGTGATCGTGAGGAAGGAAAGCATGGACAATTATGTTGGAAGTAGGTTTTTCTTGATTTTGCGGTGTCTGGTGTGTTTGGAGCTTTAGAAAGGTGGTGGTTTCATTTCGACATGGAAACAAAATGTCTTGTCAGATTTTGGGATGTATAGAAGTGTGAAATTTTGATTTAAGTGCGAAATTTCGTGTAGCAACGTTAGATGATTTAGAAAATTTTTATTGAAAATTTTACCTACTAGCCGTCCCAAAATACCTATGACTTGACCCTCTTGTTGCAACCTGTAAACGACATGTGCTATTTACCTATTGTATAGACGGATATTAAAGAGAAAATGCGAGGATTTCAGGTTGTAATGGATCAAGAACTGCTTTGATAATACACTTTCAGCCATGGCTTACTGGTGTTTGGTGGTGGTTGATCTTTTTAGGTTTTGACGACAATTTTCCGTTAATTAATTTTGGATAGATGCGTATTGAGATTATTTTTGGTGGTGGTTATAGAGTAATGGGCCATAATCAACTCTATCCTAACTCTACCATAATGAACAAGTCTACTCTAACGTGTACTCTATTAGCGATAGTTGGATACCTGAAAATATGGAACCAACAAATCTACAACTAAGTTAGACAATAAGTTTCCCCTTCGCCGCTGACATGTGTGCAAACTATTATTTACGACGGGTTAAACCAAGGTTAGAACCCATTATAAAATTTATGAATGCGATTATTTGATATTTCACGCACAGACCATAAAACCACACAATCAAAAAATGGCACTGTGACAAACGCTCACCGTTCCATAGCCCCATTAAAGAACCTTAGGAAATGTGCGCTATGCTTACACCAGAGTCTTTTCTACATGACCTCTTGTCTGAGTTTTTGACCTAATGGTTACTTCTTTTTCTGGCTCTGGAATAGTAGGATCAATTCAATTCTAATGTAAGTTCTACTAATAACGGTTGTGGCTTAACTTGGATTATGGTCATAAATCAAGATCTAATTTCAAATGACTCATAGATGAGCCAGATGATATACTTCTGGCGACGACAAGGAGACTTGACTATGAATGAAATTGTAGTAAAATAATAGAAGAAGAATTTGACCATCCACACATATCGAAAAAGTTTGTGATAACCTGACAGATCTCCCGTGAATGTTTAGGTATTCTCCAGACAACTAAGCGCATTTTTATGCTGGTAACAATAGGCATTTCCACAATTATTTTCTTCCGTCAATTGATTTTCCCTGACAGTACTCATAATTTTTGTTTAGGGTTGAATAGCCAAATGCAATCAGTCATTAACTTTGACATGCAGACGTAGTTTTGAGACCCAAACCGATAAAGACAAGTTGGTAAGGGCCTACCAAGGCGAACTTACTGCGACCAAATTGAGGACGTGCTAAGGAAAGACCAGGTCAAGTATATCCTTGCTCGATGAGCGTGTGTGGAAGCAATGGAAGCATTGATACTTGTTTATGAGGCGACAGTAGTGTGTGAGGATCGTAGAAAGTAGAATACTCTGCTTACCACGATAGGAAAAGTGCGTATACTCTATGTATATAATGAACTATGTAACAAAGAGTGGCAACAAAAATAAATTACGCCTTTTAGGCGGGTTACTCTCGTCAGAATCGGTCAATAAATATTCCAGTCATCGAACCACGCACCTGTGAGTATGTTGGTAGGTAGATAGATACATATATATATTGTGAAAGCTATCCGTCAAGTTTATGAATGAGCGTACGATTGATGCATGCTACATACAATACACCTTTCTCTTTACTCGCATATATAAATAGCAATATTTTGCTCATAGCTGTCACAGCTGTTAGTAGTTTCAAACATTATATTGAAACCTATCAGCCTCTGAAAGCGTCTAACTTGACAGCGTGTGTTACACATCACAACATACTCATACTATGCTCCAGTTCAATGTTTACCAGCGTAGATTCTCCCATACAGTACGCTGTTTTAACGGAAGTGTCCAGTAGCGTCCTGAGCCAAGGTCTGTACTCACCTGGGTGTCCTCAGGTTTGCTACTCGTATAATAATTGTAAAGACTTAAAGCGTTTGCCTCGGATTTTTGGCACGTCACAAAAACTTGAAAGCCTTCCAGGCTTCACCATGAAACAGCATATTAAAGTAGCAGTAGAGCTCCGTGTGAAAGAGTTCGTCCAGGAAAGTACTGCCACATTACCTATTTCTGCCGCCAAGTAGTAATGTCAGCGTTACTGTGTTCCGGTTTTGAAGGGTAACAGTGCTGGTGAAATTACAGGCACATGGGACTTCAACTTATATGTCAGGGTGACGGGCGCAGTGGCCCTTCGATGCGGTTTAAAGCTTAGAGCGACACTGCAACTGCTATGGACAGGCGTGACGCTTACCACCAGGCGCATGACTTGTTTGTTACGTCACGCAGTAATTTCGAACAACCAAACGCTTCGGATTCTTTATATATCCTATAGTCATAGCTAACGAATAAAACAGCCATAGAAATTCAATCACTTTAAGTTGCTAGCGAATCTGGCTAGATTTTCTTTTTCTTAGAATATTAAGCGACGGTTCGAGTAAGTCTTGCGCCTGATGGTAAGCCTGTCCATGACATGCCTGTCCATGACAGTTGCAATCCAATCTGAGCTATCGCAAAAATCGGATGGGCGCTGCCATTGCGCCCGTCACCGTGAAATGTATATTGACAAGTTCAATGTCCCTGTAATTTCACCAGGGTCCTTACGCTTTGAAACTGGAACGCAGCAATGCTCATATTACTGCTTGGCGGTAGAAATAGGTAAGGTTTTAGGGCAGTACTTCCCTGGACGAACACTTCATTAGGAGCTCTACTGCTGCTAATACCTATTATCACGCGTGTCTTTATTATACCAAAGTTACGAAATAGAGAATAGGAATAATTTCTCGATCTAAATCTTTTTTTACAAGCAAACCAACGTTTTAGACTCTTTCGGTCACGTGTATAACATAGTCGTAATATATATCTATGATATAGTCTCATCTATAACATAGTCATAATCTAAAAACTCGATAAATACAGTTGTTAAAGCCTTTGCCATTGAATTGTATTTGTTCAACCAATAAAATCTGCCATTCAAAATGGACTACGAAAAACCACACTTTTCTTTGTTATAACTAGTTGGAGCTTTCGGAGAAAATCGATACATGTGGAGATTGGCCTTCGAATACGAATAACTGTCGATGTATTTAGTCGAAAATGAAATTGAAAAATAACCCCTATTTCAATAGGATCAAATATTATATTTCCACACACAGACCCTTTTCTTTATTTACAGTACTCGTATGTCAAATATTATATTGTTCTGAAGACTCACTAAGAAGCTCGTAAAATCTGATACAAATACATGTATAGAATAAAATTTCATTGCAGCGCGTGCCAATTTTAATCTTACGTGCTTCCGATGAAGTCTATATTAAGTTAAACCGTTGCAGGTTAAGCACAGATCTTATTGAACTGGTCCATTTGATGGAAGTGACGATCGATTTTCCGGTTGCACGATTAGGGCAATTTACACTTTGGATATGTTTAACAATTTTCTCGAAAAAATATGAAGTTCTCATCTTGACTATATTGCCCCAGCCACTTTACCTTGTTAACCTTTGCAACTACCAGCAGCTGACTAGAGATGGCGCTTTAATAATTTATTGTATTTTTAAGTTTTATTGAAATTGGCTGAGTGAAGAAATAGATTTCTCACAGATGGCGCTAGGGCAAAAAGTCGTTAAAAACCAAAAACAAAGAACTGCAACAAGCAAGGAAAAGTTCCTAGTTCGTTCTGTGGCTTAGTTCGCATAGCGTCTGGCATGGTTGGCTGGAAGTTGCACGTCACTTCCATCAAAGTATTCGATCTTTGTATTAATATGTATAACAAACTAGTGGAGTAATTTCACAAAAATAACTGAATATCATGGTAGTAAACCATCGTGATATTCAATAAGTTTCTTTAATTATTATATTTTTAACCGACTTCAAAAAAGGAGGAGGTTCTCAATTCGTATGTATGTTCCTTTTTTTTGTATGTATGTTACGCGATAACTCCAGTATTTGTGAACCGATTTTCATGATTCTTTTTTTGTTGGAAAGGGGGTACTTCCATAGCGGTTCCATTTCATTTTGAAGAAAATCATCCACCTCGAAAGGTGGCTGTACGCATGAAGATTCGTTTTCATAACTAGCGCCTAACATTAATGTAGGAGCAATTACTTTAATGGTTGATTTTGCTATTTCTCCAATTCAAGTCGTTTTTCTCTGAATATACTTTGAGTAGTGTCGTAGTGAGAACCTATTTTTATTATCTCCAGTGTCAAGTCCTGTTTAGTGGCGAACTAGGGGATATTTCAATAAAACTTAGCAAATAGACGTAATTCCACGTACTTTTGAGGTCGGTTTTTTTAATACTCTGTACTGAGATTTTATAAATAATATTTTTCTTGCTTTTGCAATGTCCTTAAATTGACATACAGCCCAAGTTACTTTTATCATGGAATACCCTTATTAAAAAAAATGCAGTTTTTAAATAAAAACTTGAAAAGCTTGCATTTAAACACAACTAACGGTTGCCACCGCTAAGCTGTTGACTCTAGTTGACGGCTGCCGTGAAACGATAAATTGTCGTCACGGTCTAGTGAGAACAGCACGACAGTCGTTCAACGATAAAACAAGCGTCCACGACACAGCCACGACAGATAGTCGTGATACGGGAATAGCCTAGCTCAACAGTCGTTCAACGATAAATAGTTAACTCACGTGCCCCGCGTGTCTCCTCACTTTAGGCCCTCGTCAGCTAGTAAGATGCACGAGACTGACGCCCCGGTGACAAACCACCGGAGCAGACGAACATATCCGTCTCTGCAGCTCATCACGAACCTCGGCGAGTACGTACCTAAGTCCGGGTTCACCAGAGACGCCCGTGAAGGCGTATAACTAGCGGAGGGCTTGGCCCGGATGCCAGCCGTACCCTGGTCTCGTTTTAACTTTTTGTTTTGACAGTAAAACGTGTCACTCTTTGTACGAAGTACGTGACCGACTTAGCTCTGTTGCAAATAAAAGATGCCCAGTACATTAAGTACACTCGCTGTCAAAAGTATCTACGTTGCTTATTGAACTATCAAATTGGTTAATAATGTAATAATTTTGATATATTTTATTAATTAACAAACGAAGTAAAAATAAGAACTAAAGTGTTTAATATGAACCTTAACAACATAAAATGAAATATCAATAAACTACAACAGTCAATATCAGTGCACCGCTGTGATTATACAACAGAAATATTAGTTTAATAGAAAGTGAGAAGGTGGACTTATCTCTAAAAGAGAACTCTTCCAGCCAACTCAAGGCAGTGAGAGCTAAGATTATAAGCGAGTAACGGTGTGCAAGAGAGAATGAGATAGAAAATAAACTACATAACAAAAACAAAATTATTATTTATTTTTTTTAATTTATCGCCACAGCCGCGCACATGACGTTACTTAGTACAACAATAGTGTTGACTACCTTTTTGGTCGCATAATTATTTATTGCTAAGATTATACTCATGGGACCTGTCAACTTGTGTCTCAGGGTGACGGGCGTAGAAGCAATGCCTCTAAGATCTTTGCGATTTAAACGCACTGTAACAGTTGTGGATACGCGTGTCGATTACCACCAGGCGTACGAGGCTTGTTCTTTCCGTCACTTGGTATTATAAAAAAAAGAAATGATTATGTTTTAGAGAAATGAAACTAATTAAATATAATTAGCTTACTCAAACTTGTGAAAATATTTTTTGTTTCTAAGGCATGTTAATACCCCACAGCGCGTTTTGTTATGTTAATATGTAGATACTCGCTAAGTGACTCCCTTTAAGGTCGACATGACGCTTTCTACAGTGACAGTACAATTTCCATTTAAAGACCTATACAAACGAATGTTTTTTTCAATGCGTATTCAGAGCACTGTACAGATGTTTTCGATGTCTTTTGTTCTATTGTGTATTAGAGCAGCCTTTAGAATAGAGATCGATATGGAGACGCGTACGTAGGTTATATAGCAGTTGAGAGTAGAGAGAACGTTCTACTTTCTTGTTGTTGCAAAATAATACTTTATACAGGGTACCCCAAAAAATTATTAGAAAAACAAATATTTAAGCGTCACCTAGGTTTAGTTTTCAGGTGTATGGTAGATTTAGAAAATAAAATATGCACTGATCTATTTATTCGTGCCACTATAGCCAAGATTAGGAAGAAAACATACAACTCGATTATCACGAAAAATTGTGGAATATACTTACATCTCTCTTCTTACTGAGTGTCGTGAATCAGCTACGGCTGACCTTTTTGTTTTAATTAAACAAGACGTACGATCTTATTATGCTTTGCAAAGCGAATATTCCCACTTAATTTTATGTCTACCTTTTATTTACCTGAATATAACTCATCGATAAACCAAAAATACGTTGCTTTAAAAAATCACACATCAGTTACGACAGCTAGATAAGGGAAGGATGATATATGGAGGTGAATCAAGTCTGCTCTACCTCGAGGCTTTCGTTTGAGACATCGTTTTCGGACACCTGTATATTTTTATGTTGTCATCGTAAATGCTTAGCTATAAGGTGTGGTTTTCATACAAGGTTAAAAGTTATTCGCGCATCCTTGTAGTAAATAACATTGGCAGTATAAAGAATTTACTTTGTACAATA